GTGCAAACTCCCCGCATAAATGCGTAAAAAGAAGAGGAGCGAGACTAGATAAGGGTCTCGAGACTACCTAAGCCGGTAACGAGGTCACCGTCTCCCTTACTTAAGCTAGAGTTTCATCCTTATCGATCGAGAAAATTGGAGGTAAAAAAAATCTTCTTATCCTCGCTTCTTAGGTTAACGAATCTTTCGAAAATAGAGTATGTATTTTTCGATGGATCGCGATAGGAGAGAAAATAAAGATTTCTTTTGTTTTTTTTCTTTTTTTTGTCGCTTACTTTTTAGTTAACTCCTTCGAAAATAGAAGGAATATAAAGATCTAGTCTCTTCTTTTATCGATCGAGAAAATTAGAGATAAGAATCTTTCTTCTTATCTATCTTATCTTCTTTTTAACCTTCGAAAATAAAATGTATTCTTCAATGGAATTAGAATTAGAAAGTCTTCTTACGCTCGTTTCGCAATAGGAGAGGATGAAAAATTTTTATCCCTAAAAAAATCTTCTTATATAATTTCTTTTAACCCCTTATATTTTAAATATATTTTTCTCTTTTTTCTTTCCCGACCGAGAAAATCAGGAACAAGAATCTTCTTATTCCAACTCCTTCGAAAATAATCGATATACACAATTCGATGGATCGCAATAGTGGAGATTATAATAAAAATCCGTCCCCCCGACTCTCCGAACGAAAGTCCGAACAAAAGAGGTGTCTCAACCCCTCGGTTCACTCTCCACATACACAATTCTCGATCTCGAAAGATCATCAATACTTGGATCCATCCGTATGTAAAAGCGTCCCCAAGCAGGAGGAGGAGGGGGAGGAGGCGAGGAACCGAGGAGCCTCCTTCGAGGATCTCGATATTTAACGGCGACGGCGACCACCACCGCGGCGTGGCGTCCCCGTGAGAGTCCAAAGGTGGAGGAATAATTATTTTCCAAGAGGGATCTTTTCTCTTCTTTCTTTTTCCACGGTGGCCATCCGAGGGATGGAGGGGGGGGGGGAGGGAGGGGCCCAGCCCTCGCCCCGGGGGGAACACATATACGCCCGATCGTGCCCGGGTCGTGGGCATATACGATATCTGATGCAGAAAACCGGTAAAGGCCGATGGAAGAGGGGGCAAGGAAGAGGAGAGCTAGCTCTCCTTCCTCCCCTCCCTCCCTCTCCCCACGAAACACATTGTCTTCTCGGCGACTTAAAAATCCAACTCGTGCCTCGTTAACCGTCCTCCTATCTGATACAACCGTGAGCGTTAGAGCCAACCAAGGGAACACGTACACGTCGCGTGTTTTCGTCCCTTCTCCTTCTCTTTCTTCTCCTCCTTTTTCTTCTCCGCATTCGTAACCTTGCGGCTTCTGAACGCGGATCCCCCCCACCACTGCCCGGTAGCGTAACGTATGAAGAGGAGAGGCGCTCGCCGAATTATTCGCCGACACGCTTCGTATTTAAAGCGTGTTTATGGATGGGCGATATATATATATCGTATATTTTCACCGACAAGTCGCGAGAAATGAAAATAGCGAGAGACATCTGTTTCGAATGCGCGAAAAATAATGGAGAGAAGGATGTTGGATCGTCGTCGAAGGACGAGAGTGTACATACGAGAGCAATCGAGTGGTCGAGCGCGAATCACAAATCGTGTGAACCGAAGCGTGACGAGGAGAGTGAGGAGGAGGAGGGTGCTTCTTCTCTGGTTGGCGAGCGAGAAGGAATAAGTGAGTAGGCGAACACCATTGTCCGGTGAAGAAAGAAAGAAAATAGTGGTGGTTTCGCTCTGTCGATTTAGTTACAGCCTCGTTATTTCGCGTGCTTACTCGCACGCTTTATTTTTGCTAACCAAGCCTTCTTCAAACCGTGTTAAAAAGCGTACGAGATACGCGTGATGTTTTATATTTGTTCACTGGTATCCTCGACGACGTGAAAGTGAAACTTGTTGAAACGTTTCAATTACGATAATTACGAAGTAAGAAATTCGGTCTGGCTTCCAAAGTTTATTTTTTTAATGAATTCTTAGCTAACTTATCACGCATAAATTAACATATTAAACTTTTGATATTTTAATGTTTTACGTATGTTTACGAAGAAAGAAAATTCGTCGAATATTAAAGTTTGTATAGTTGTTTCGTGCGATATTTTAATGATGAAGTAATTACCAAGATGCATTCACGGTTTGTCAGGACAAGTATCGCGATGTCGTTCGATGTCTTTCACCTTTCTTATTTTATCGAGAGCAAAATATTACGATCTCAATAACGTGCTTTCATATTTGCTGTCTATTATTCTTATTTTTCACTTTCTTATACTATATTTCTATTTTCCTTCTCTCTATCGTCAATTTCTCAACGAGTAAAAATAATTTCGTTATTTAATAACGAAAAATCAAATTTATCTTCGCTCGAATTAATTTCACTCTATGCTTACAAAACTCGAAAACTTTGAAAATAATATTTCTATCGAAAATGTAGTTCGATCACTGTCTAATTTCAGATAAAAAATCTAACCATTTGACATATTATTCCACGCCTTATAAGATTATATGTAAAGAGGTTAGGAACCTATTCGTAAAACGATATTTAAAAAAAAAAAGAAACATAAATAAATATTGTTGCTATTCGAATTGCCGTATCGAATCGAGTGGTGTCTGAGAGTCGTCGTTACAAAGCGTTAAATATATTAGGTGTGCAAATAAGTTCCTTCCTTTTTTTTCCACGATCGTAACTTGCGACCGAATTCGAATCGTTCGTGGTGCCATCTGAAAGAGCTTTTGTTTTTAAGAAAAGTCGCCACGAGCGCTCTAGAAGTTTCTAGTCCTGCGCAACGATTTCAAGCAATATGACGTGCGAGAAACATCGTTCGCGTCGCTGCTCGCTTTTTGCGTTCCAGTTTATTGGAGATTAGTTGTCGAAATTATCGAAATGGTTTGCACTGGGAGAGAACGCTGTATCTCAACAAGGATTCGAAGTCGGAAATTTTAATTTGAAGGACGACAGTTCTATCGGATTCAAGTGAATTAGAGGAATCAACGAAAATCCGATCCAGAAAAGAATCCGGCAGAAAGATCGTGATCTTGTACCTGATTTACGTAATAATATCTTAAATTTGGAGAAGAAAGGGAAAAGAACTTATTTGCACGTACTAATATCCATGCCTTTCAAAAATGCATGATGACAGAATATAAAAAAGTTAGTTGGTTATTTTATACATATATACATCCCTTTCTAGCGACACAGAAACTGCCAATGACTGTCCGCCGGTTGGATGGCACTTTTAATCGATAAAACGTCTCTGGTTTCGTTTCACAGGTCTGCAGGCGGAATTGTTTTACGTAAGAGAAGGCGTTATAAACGAGTACGCGATTAAATTCGTCGTCCCGGTGCCAGCCCAGGTTCACAAGCTGCATTTCACTTGGGAGAATCTCGCCGGCAGGCCGGTAAGTTTCAAACAAAGCTTCCCGCGGAGGGGGGGAGGAGAGGAGGAGGAGAGGAGGCCTTTGATGTAATTCTTGAAAATGATTCGCTTCTTAAACGAGGTAAATTCTCGAGGAGGGAGAGAGGTGGAGTGAAGGAAAAGCTCGGTTAAAAAGCCCGTCTTCCCTTTAAAAAGCGGCTAAGGAAACGCGTTGCCTTGAGTGATGAAAAGAAGTGGTTACCGCTTCGAACAAATTATCTGTATTATATATATATATATATATATATATATTTCGCGTGCTTTGTTCCTCTTCTCACGTTTTCTTTGACTTCGATCACAGGAGATCGCGGAATTTCGCTTCGTCAACTCAAGAAGAGAACACTATTTGTTCCATTTGAACGGTTGCTCGCCGTCCGCTCGAACCTCTCGCTTCCTTCCTTATTCCATTCCACCGAGCCCTTGCGAGACGCACTTATCCGGATTATCGAGGCATGTCGAGCTCGTCTCGTTTCTCGGATTCGTACCACCGGCTGCTCTCCTCCCGCTATTCTTCGTGGAAATGAATTCGTTAAGTGTTTTCCACGAGAGCAGTGAAATTGTTGGAAATCTTCTTCCCAATCTGCAACCTCCTTTTCTCGAGAAAAAGAGAGAGAAAGAGAGTTTTGTACCTTGTGCTGGATTTAATAAAATCGAGGAAATTAATAATTGGAGTGGAGTTTATTCAGTAAGAAAGCTGTATATTATAATTCACATTGCGCGCGCACGAGTCTAATAATTAAAATTTGTCCGAATCTATCTCTCTCTCTTTCTCTCGAAGATAAGAGTCGATCGTTCGAGCGACGGACATTCTACAAAAAAATGGATAATTAGCGTGTCTATTGGTGGGAAGAGAGGGAAGAAGGGAATGCTATTTACGCTGTCCTTTCCCTCGAGACGGTTTGACAAAGTGGTGGCGAAAAGTGGACAGAATGCGACGCGGTGTCGGATTGACTCGTCCGCGATGCGCGCACGAGGAGGAGGAGGAGGAAGGGAAAAAAAGGAAGGAAGGAAGGAAGGAAGGAAACCGAGTAGTAGGACAAAGTGGTCCAGCCACTTCTTCGACTTGTCCCTTCGAGCTGGAAGGAAATGGAAGAGGGGGGTGGAAGGGAAGGAAGAAACGCGAGGAGACTGATGGCCGACGTCGAGACATCCGTCACCTCCGTCGACAAAACCGAGTGTCCCGAATGCTACTTAGCTACGCCGGCTATCCGCTCCAATCAAACCGAGACCCACTTTTGAACCCACCCCGCTTTCCTCTCTCCTCGACAAATTCATTCCCCCTGAACGAAAATTTATGGGGATACATACACATATACAACACGTACACACGGGACTGTCCCGTGTTTATATATATATATATATATATATATATATATATATATATATATATATA